CACAGATGAGGGTTGACTCGGGTTGAAGAAAAAGCCACCATAACTTCGCAGTGGTACTTCCAAATGAAATCCGAGACATGAGTACTCTTGTAAATTGAGTCATCTTTTCTATACTTCTCTTTGATATTGTGTCATAGCTAGATAGCTGCAAACACAATTATAATCTGACGCTAAAAAAATCTCAGCCGCATATTCTCCCTCAAGTTGTTTGTTTCATGGAATAATAACAGGGGTTAGAATGATGGCCTACTATTAGCATACAAATCTGGCAGGCCTGAGTGGGGAAAGGTAACGTAACAGTTACCTACGAGCATGTACTTAATAAAGCGTAGCCTCCAGTCGAGTTGCCTTCTTCACGCAACGTCTTCCCAATATTATTCTCATTCTAGATATTCCATTTCTTCCTTGTGAAGGCCACTTCGAGTCCGTACTTGTATCAGATCACGACGTGCCCTCTATCTCTTCTTGTGGAAGACCTTGGCCCTATATTTACTCACACTTGTACCCTGCGGACAAATAGCATACACACTCCTCGAAAGTTTGTCCCATTAGAGCAACAGTGCCCCATAAGCCATGACCCAGGCTTTGTATTTTTCGACTTGATTTTCTCCTTGCAGGTATGCTTAGCCTCGTAAATATGTAGGGAGAGATGGCTAGAAATTAATGGGGCAAGCTCCAGTTTGCTATTGGAGCAACTTCTTTATTGGTCGTTGAGGCGAGATGATGCGTGGTTAGATCGGGGCTGAGGACTCAGATCAGAATGATAAGAGGGGCATTTTCGAGAAGTCGTCAAGTGGAGATATGCTTGAGGTTGCTTCCGGCCTTGATTCAGTTGCGATTCTTGGTTATTCTAGATATGCAGAGCATACTGAGCGATCAACCGGCACCACTTGGAGGTGAAGAATTCGTCTATGCCAGCAGGCTCCACATAGTTTTACGCTAAGCCTGGGTTAGATAGCGCAGGCTACAGGTTGGCTCACCAGCCGTCACAACGCTCAACTGGTCCATGTACGCAAGTATAGCTCACTATGCTAGTCGCGACCGAACTCCAGAGGGTGGAGATCTCTAATTCTAAAAGAGCCGCTCAGAATCTCCACACAGCACTGATCATGTATCAAAGGAAGATCGCTGAATACACGCCAAATGGTCAAGCCAACCGATCAACATTCACGGGAATCTAGATGGCCGGTTTGCTCATTGGCCACGGCGCTCCGTGGTCGTTCGCTTCTGGGCTGTGGGATTTCAGCCCTCCAGTGGCAGTGGACAATGCCCAGTCCTGAGCCCGGTTATTCTACCAACCACATTGCGACTTCTAACATTTCCGACAGATTGTCGTGGACTGCAGATCGGGGACGAGGGGACAAATCGGCTGACGTGGCACAACGCGGCTTTGCATTACCTGCACCGCTGGCATGTCTGAACGCCTCAAAAAGGTGACAGGCGAGCTTACTGTTTGGCGGGAAGTAAAAGGACCCGCAGGAAGCTGTGTACTAAATGAACTGTGCGCATCACTGGCCCGATAATTCTACGTTGTTGGTTAAGAAAGGGGATTAAACCCTATCAAATTTCACTATTCTCTCGAACTTTGCATCTTAACTTGTGTCGGGCTCTACAGGTGATAACAGGCTAAATCTCACTACGCTCAACACATGTGGGCGCTATCCTATAACCAATTTCCTGCAACAATCAATGATCCATATTTCTCGCGCTGCTTCATGTAGCAGATTACTTTCACTATAACCACATCCTAGGCTTATCTCGGGGACTTACATGGCTCTTTTTTTTGCATCAGGTTTTAATTGCGTATGCAGCTATCTAGATGACACTATATTAGACAAATGTATAATAGGTGACTCAATTTAAAAGAAGAGCACTCATGCCTCGTATTTCATTTGCGAGTACTACTGCGAAGTTATGGTGGCTTTTTCTTCACCCCAAGTCAACCCTCATCCGTGAATACCCACTCAGGGGAACGTCTCAAAAACCCTGAGTTATCCAGACATGCCTCCATCATCCATATACTAATCTCCGCGTGAATTATAATCTGATATGTCTCCTTCCCAAGTGGATTAGGTGCCCAGGCTACTCAGACTATACCGGAGAACACCACCAGGAGGCGGACCACAACACCTTCCATCGTTGGCTTGTGTTTATAGTGTCAGCTGCACTCTCGCAAGCGAAGTCTTGGTGCGCACAAATCCCAATTCGTAAAACTATTGCCAAAACTCAAAATTCCACGCCCGTCGAGTTTATATTCTTCCATTGCATCATCTTGTGAACCTGTCCTGATCCCTCTCACGTCCATCCCGAATAACTGTCTCCCAGATTTGTGCGCCACGCTTTGCTTCCTCTGTCGGGTGTAAATATCGGCGTGAGCATGTATTTGGTGACCAGCTGAAGGCAGAGAAATTCGACGAGACGTATGGTCATTGGGATTAGGATGTACTTGGTCGTACTTGTAGACTTGATGAGACTTAGGTAGAAGTCAAACTCTTTGGGAGCGAAAAGAACGACAAGGTGGAGTGATTTGAATCATTGCCTCGTGGGCCAACTCCTTTGATATTGCGAAATTTGACTAGACTTGGCTCTGGGAGAATATTTGACTCCCAGGTACGTTAAGGAAAGATCCTTTGAGGACTTTCTCGTATCAGTATTATCTCACTTCTGCGATGAGTAGCATTCGGCGATTTTCCGCCTCTGATAATTGCATGTCGATCGGCCCAGCTTTGAAAAGCTGTGTGGGATGCGGGTAACCTACAAGATCCTTGGTACAATAATACATTTCAGTTTCGCTAACCTGATACCCAGTGTATGGAGTTGATGAATTTGGCGCCAATTTTTCTCCGGCTGCAGAGCCGAGATTTGCAGACAAAATAGCGAGACAGATGCAAGTGGTCGCCGAGGCGAGGCACGGCTAGGGCCGGCAACAGCGACGGAGACTCGGGAGCAGTAATGCAGGACGCGGCAAACGAAGGTGCAGGGGGCTTGCATAATTTCCGCGCGCGCCCCCTCAATGAGATGGGCTGAGCGCCGATCGGCGCAATTACTTCAGCCCAGCGAAGGATGAGACTACAGACCGGTGCGTTAATATCCCGAACGATCATGGAGTGGAAGGGGCGCGAGAAATCTCACAAATGGCAACGACGTGAAGACTGATTCCCATGCGAGTGAGTGAGCGCGGACAGCGGTTGGCGTATTTGGAATAAGTCGCTGGTCTGTCGCCAACTGGACCACTTTATAAGCACTGACACGCCGTGACCAAAAGGGATGCCCTTGCACTTCCTGGCACGTCGCTCCTTTGTCCCGCGAAATTTCTGGAATATTAGACGTCGATCCATACTTTATCCGCGGCAGCATGTTCCTTGGACCTGGAATGCTAGCCGAATATACCCCGTAGTATAGTTTGTGCCCCAGGCAGAAAATAATGGAGCCCCCGAAGCCATTTAGCTTGAAAGCATTGGATGGAGTGTTGTGGGTGCGAGAGCTATGACCATTAGACGGCGAATTTAAAGATATGGTCCATGGTTCTGGCCGTGTCCAGGGAAGATTAATGAGCGGTGGCGATTCTACACATCAGCATGGATCTACCCAGTCGAGCAGTTGCCGATCGTTTGCTCTGAAGAGGCAAGATTTGCGGGGAGACTGAAGTGAAGCCAAGGTACCGCGGGTCGCTAGATGGTGGTCCATAATCGGAGCGTTTTGATTATGGCCCACATCTGCTAATACCGGGCCACGATCACACTATGGCCGCAAAACTCAAGATGGCCGAATTCTCAGTTGGACAGATATCGCCTCAGCGGCACCCAATGTCGATGTGACAAGTCCAGCTTTGGTGACAAAGACACGACTCAAACAAACATGTAGACACCCTTAGCCATCCATAATCTTGCCGCTGACACGTCCAAATGACACATCCGGCAAGTCACCGCACCCCTCTCTCGCTCCCTAGTGCTGCCTTGAAAGAAGGCCCTAGGGCATGGTGGAAATCGGCCCTTGCTCACTAGTTCTTATGATTCCGTTCAGGCAATTCATACGGCTGGCTCTTGCGCGGCTCACAGGCCGGTGTTTCAGCTCTAAACCCTCAGTTTCGGACCGTAGTCCTCCAAAGTCGCCGCCTAGCTAGCCCTTTTTACGTGACCAGCCTGGACGACATACACGTAGAGACTCTTCGTCTCATGAACCCACCTCCCTTAATCTGGTGATTCGTATTGATAATATGTAGTTTGAGGGTCTGATTGGCTCATAAAAAGCCAGTATTGTTCCGTTGGCTGGAGAGGGGAAATAATGAAGGGCATAGGGCTCCCTTTGGATTATGATCGAACGAGGACTTGTGAAAGGTGCTACTGTTTTATTGGAGCTGTAAATCAGGCAAAGGAGTGGTAGCACTACTGGCAAAGGTATCTTTAATCCATTGGAAAAGAGGACCTGCATCTCCCCAGTATTCTTAGACTGAGAAAGGACATTAGTATAATTATAAAAAAAGAACTGGGCAGTACCCATAACTAACTTCTGTTGGCGTTTGTGGCAACTGGCTGCTATTATTGACAGGCTCGTGCTGAGTGGCGACTGAGTTGGAGGCTATAGCCCACAACTGCGGCTTACAAAGGGGCGTATTCCATTTCAATTACGCGTTACAATGACAGCAAGATCTTTCCGTAGTGGAGCGTTGTAGACAATATTTCTTGGTGTCCTTCAAGCTAAGTATATCTTTGAAAATCACAGCATTCAAACGTCTCTGAATTGCTCTTACCAGTATTAAAAGGACAAAGCTTGTCTTTTTCTCTGGGTAGTTTCGCTTTGATGCTCTACCTTACCGCAAAGATCTCGTTACTATCGACAGTGATTCTTAGGGCTTACTGATATCCACAGAGACGAGAGCTCTCGGCACCAATATTAATTGATTTTATGTGGAGAAATGAAACCTACCGTTGGGAATTTTGAAATTATCACTAGAAATACAAGTATCTTTATTTGTATATGTGATTTATTAATATGTTAGATCAAGCCTTGCTAACCGACTTCAAAGAATTGAGCCATTTATCCTCATCAATAACCAAAGGGTTTCTCATAAATAACTCCAGAATTTGTTCAGTTGTATCCACACTGAAGAGTTGCGCCTCAATATTTATAAGGTATGCCGCTGTGGCACGAAGTATAATAGCATCCCCTTCAAAAACCATAATATCCCACAACCTCGCTGCATTGTCAACACTCAGGTATGCTGTTCCCATACTGGTAAATAAGCCACGAAATACGAATTCAGGGGTAAATTTAACAGTCGGTGAAGTTAGGTGGGTGTATAATCTTGGTGCCTTCTGCATGAGGATAGAAAATAAGAGAGTGCACGCTCGCTTGGTAGCGGCCGTATCACTCATGTGAAAAGAAAGGGAAAGAGGTCGATTGAGCAGATTTGAAAGAGTAATGAAGGCATCCAAAGGCGTTGGAAGGTTTAGAAGAAGAAGTGCTGCGCTGGCCTATCCAAAGTCGTTAGAATAACTTGAGTAGCAGGGGAAATTCTTACGCTAGTCCCGTAAACGTAGCCTACGTCACTTCGATACATGATATAAGCTCTAAGGATTTCAATTAGAGATTTATGGAGTGGTCCGTTTGATTGAAATATCTTAAGCTCGCAAAAGGTATTCTTAACGTCAATTTCGATCATATCCAGCCCAAGCTTTTTTTCCTCCTCTTCAGGAGTGAGTCGCTCTCCACTCTCAATAGCCTTTAGCAAAGCTTGAGCTCGGCCAAGGGCCGCAGTAAAGGATGTATCCGATAATTTTAGATCGTTACCAATCGCCTTCATCCATACACTTCCCCGGCTTCTTGGGCTAATACCTTTCCACCAAAGCTCCCGTGTGTGCTTTTGGCGTATGGCCGTCTCCCAATTAGGAAGGACATGGTCTTCCCAAGTTCGCGAAAGTGATTTCGCGTTGGCGTCACGACATGCCAATTTCTCTCGCCTTAGTGCTTCCTTCCTTCGATCTGCCTCTAAGGAGCAGTTCATCATTTTTTGATACTCCTTTAGGTGTCGCTTCTCTTCAGCGGGATCCTTGGGAGGAAGCCAGGATGGACGTGTCCTTGATAACACTGCTTCTTTTTCTCTGGATATTGGTAGAGGGTCAATCATTATATCAGTTTTTCGTAGTGGAGGTAGCTCGGCAAGGGTAGGCTTTGCTTCAATTTTCTTTGGTAAATGGTCTTGAGAGCCGACTTCTCTTTGATGTTCCGCCAGGGCTTCGGTCAGCTGCTTCGCCTCTTGATTCAAGTCCGACATCGCAGCAGACCAACTTTTCGTCCTTAGCTTGAAGTTATCCAAGTTAGTCGGAGGTAATAAATTAAGCCCGCGAGAGACTCCAAGTCTTGGTGAGCGAAGCTCCCCCTGCTCAGCAGGTTGGGGAGAGGTCCCATTACCAAGGGGTTTTACTTTGCCCTTATTTCGTTGTTCAGGACTTGTTGACAATATTTTGATGTTTAAATTCTGCCGCGATAGTAATTGCGGTGATATGGGGACATTCTCCAAGAAACATTCATCGGGTACGTCACCCCCGTCATTCTCGTCACATTCCCTCTCTAGTTCCTCAGCCGTTTTCCTTTCCTTGTTCACCTGCCACGTGAAACGCCTAGGGTGGGGGGCGAGGATGGAAGGAAGTTTCTGGCCGAGGGGGACTGTAGGACTCACACTCCGGTTGCGTCGGAATGGGAATTCGGCAGGCCCTGGATTGGCCACATAACTATTTCCTGTCTGTAACGAAAAGAAACTTGATCCCGATTCCTTTGTGCCGATGCCGATTGCATTTGCAGGAGAGAGGTGAGCGGAGATCTTTTTTCCCGATTTAGTTTCTTTGGATGTACGTCTCCGACCTGTATTTTTGATTGAAAGGAACGAGTCTCGAGAGATTATACGCACATCGCTTTGGAAGCCTGAGTTGTGTTCAGATGCGATCTTGATGGAGTGCTCCCGAAATTCATTATCTGTAGGGCTCTCATCATCCAAGGCGATATCCTCGAAATTTCCCACATATTTGATAGTCGATAAATCGTCCGATGAATACGAAGACGGAAAAGATGCAGACTTTGAAGATTTGGAGCTCGAAAGCGGTGGCGGAGAGCTGGGCATTGGCGAACTCTCATGATCCGAAAAGTTCAAGTCATATCGAAGGGAGAGAGGAGAAACAGAAATAATGCTTCTACACGCGGAGGTAGCCAATTTGACGGTTGCTGGAGTTTAATTTTGCCGTGGATGCTGGTATTAGGGTCTAAAGGCGGTTTGAGGTGGAATTCGAAATGTAGAAATAACGCTCTATTGATGGATGCTCGTGTAAAGGGAATGAGAGACAGATGATGGGGTTGAAGAGTGCTTGAGCTTAGGTCAGAATAGGAGGTTAGAGAGATGGGATAGAAAGTTAAGTTCTGTAGAAAAGATAGTGGTGGTTGGGAAGTTGAAAGTTAGGTGGATAACGAATCGGAAGGAAGTTGGATGGCTTTGATTAGAGGAGACGAGGCCAGTGGGCAAAAGTAGAAGAAAAAGCGAATGTGCGAAGTCAGCGAGTGAGAGAGAATGGATGAGTGTTTGTGAATGGACGGGCGAACGTGTATGTGTATGTGTGGGTGTGAGTGGATACTTGGGAGAGGGCTTGTGCGCGAAGTGAGTGAAGTGAGCGACAGACATCTGTGGCTGCCGGGGGGGAAGGGGGGACCAGGGTGGGACGGACGCGAAATGGGAGGAAGTTCCGGATGGGACGGGGTGTGGAGGCGGCTGTTTTCAGGCACTTCAGTCTATCGCAGCCTTATTCCATTTATGCCCCAATGTGCAAACTACTGACTAGGTGAGAAGCATTCGAACAACAGCCGAATTAACTCGTGGCGCATGCCATCACTTGCTTTCGATGTATGGTCCAGAAGTCAAGGCTTCCTTTGCTATGAAATGATGCTGATGCGACCGTCGAGTCAAGGCCTGATTTGCAGCGAAGGAGACTTGATCCAACAAAACCCCATAGTTAAGAATCGCAACTACAACTGCCTCCACTCAGGTCGTGACTCGTCGTCTCTTGCAGCCCTGGTCCAGCCCGAACTCATACGGTTGAATTATCAGTGAATGTACGTGCTCGGTTTCAGGAATCCGGCGTGGTGATAAAGAATTCGTTGACCCCTGTTTTAGTCTGAGGGTTATTTTGACCCGCTACAGGACATATTGAGCTGGATACAAATGCATGTATGTGCAATAATATGTAGATGTACGAGTGTACAGCCTTGTAGGTCCTACGATTTTCTCACCCGCCCAACCACAACATTCTGATTGTTCTAGACAGCTGCTATGACAACGGTGAGTGACGTCGCTATCTAAAGGGACGGTCTCTTTCAACACCGGGCTCTTGGGCGTTCGTTCTCCATCTGCTCGGCCATTGTCCACGCCGTTTGCCTCACAACCTTGGTATCTGCGGGAGAAGCATACTCTTTGCGCCAGAAATTGGATTAAATTTTGAACTTGCCACTTGGCTTGACGATTACAACTCCAATACATATCTTGCTTTCCTTCCTCCTGGTGTAAGTGAAGGCACCTATTTTGTGTTGAACGAGGACAAAATCTCCAAATCGGTGCAGAGGACGCAGACCGTAGCATCATTCACGTAGCCAAGGGAATAGTTCGTCGATGCTGGAGAATCAACGGCTATGCCTAGTGAAATTAACGGGGTACTAAAAGCTCCATCAACCGACCTGTTTGTAAGAATTGGGCGGGCCTTATCGCCAATAGAGTCAAGTTGCGCACCGGACGAGATTAGGCGACATGAGACGAGGTAAAACCGTCTTACATCTTCCCCACATCACTGGACTTCCAGGCTAGACGAGATGAGATCGACAAGAGATCCGCATGACCGTATTTATTTTAGGAAATGACCCCTCGGATGACCCTCGTACACTCCGGATTAGGCAAAGTCTGGAACAGTCAGTAGCCACGACAGCGACCCCGGCCCTCGAGACGACAACTTCATACTACTCTCTGCCACCCATCGTCCAAGGGTCATCGGGGCCCGTTGGCCGTTCCACACCTGCAAACAGAGCGGTTCAAGCATCAACTGGGCCAAAGAGCAGCGTGACCTGGGATCTGCTGGAGCATAGCGACTCAGAGATTCATAATCATGGAGGCTTGGGACAAGGGACAGGCCACTGTTACTCTTGCTGCGCGAGCGGCGGGGCCGAAGGGCGAATATTGAGCCTGTTGGCAGATACACTGCCCTATAGTCCTGGCTCATTTACCACTATCTGTATTGATATCGCGAATGGCTACTGTGGACAGTGACAACGGCGGGAGTGACGTGTTTGACTTGAACCAACACTGAGTGCTGACTGTTCACCGACAGAAGTCGACTCCGATGAGGGTTGGATGTTATCAGGTTGATGATGCAGCATTGTGGTACCCAGCAACTACACAGCGCGCATCGGTCCGCCAAGATTTAGTGGCCAGGAACAAGCCCGCCCACGATTAGCAGCTAAGAGGCAAACTCCAGTTTGTCCGGCAGCTGTCGTTCACAGTCTTTGCCCCACATAATAGTATCAGTACTCGTAGTGGCGGGATATCCCTGTGCCATGTTTGGGAAAGGGAAGGTGGCGACTCGAAATTGGCAGGTCTTTTCGTCTCAGGATTCCCGCTATGTCATAAAGACGCACATCGGGGCGCGGTGCTGTGCAGGCCCAGTGATTGCCCGACCGATAAGGTGCCAACCGGGTCTTGGCGCAAGAGCGAGAATGCGGACTGGTAACTAGTGAAAAAAAAAAGCATGCGAACCGGCTCGGTCTCTTCCTACTGTCTGGGCCGACACACGAATGCCCATTTAACCTTATTTGTTACTATTGTCCTCTATCAGCCCAACACAATTATGAATAGACATTGGCTCGGATTCCCCTCACAAAAACAGTTGATTCAGCCATGAGCCAGTGATTATTTGCTTTTCAGGAGGCCAGTTGGACGATAGCTAGTTAGTCCCCAACCTTCTCTGCCCTACGAGAGGCTGGTGTCTTACTTATCCAGCTATCGATCGTGCAAATTCTTTGTTTCTCCCGACCGTCGACCTCCCATGGTCCTTGGTTTCTTTTTCCGACTCATACTATCGCTCAAGTTTTAATTGTCTGACTTGGCTGGAGAGGGAATAGAAGATACTTCCAACCAAGGAAAAGCCGCTGCAGCTTACTATGAACATACAAGAACAGGATATCGTTGAGGTTGGTAATCTTAGGAAACATATAGATCATGGGGTAATCGTTTACTAGGGAGCGTAGGAGCTATAGGAAGAGGATTCGACAGTTCGGGATGGAGGCCTGGTGTGTTCAAGCCAAAATTAAAGCCCGAGTCAGTTTATTCACGCAGGTTGAACCAAGATGCTCGTCGCGACCGTCACCTTCTTACAGCCCAGCCACTTTCCCAAGCAATCCCCAGGTGCAGTTATTGCCCATTTGCTATTGCGCTCGATGGCTAAAAAATCATATACATCTAGGTCAGTGTACCGTTCGACGGGCCTTGACGGGTTCAGCCTGAATCCCGCTCGAGCCGCTGAAACAGGTGTGGCTTTGCCTATTCTGAATTAAACCTAGACAGAACAGTAATGCGCGGCAGGTCCCTTCGAAAATTGCTGGACATTTCTGCGCCCTGATACCTCCTCCTCACCAGATTCTCCCGGAATCAAGTGGCTCAGTCCCGACTGCATCTCACAACGGCTATGCCTGCAGAGTCATCTAGGAACAGAGCATTTGAACACACACACATCCTTTCACCAAAGCGTATCACTTATCAATTTCTCTAGGCTTCATTCCCTTGCGCAGTGCCTATTCGCCAGAGTAACTTGGCTCTTTCAACTGTGGTAGACTTGCTCCCGATACGGCGGAGCGCCTTACTCGACCGCAGCAGCCGCTTAGCTCAGCCCGTTCGGCGCGTTGGAGGTCGTGTAGGCAAAGCCCATAGAACCCTTGCATGCTTGCCGACAAGTCTACCTAACCCAACTAAGGACGAGCTGCTATGATTGTGCCCTGTTTACAAGGTGAGAAGTTGTCAATCAATGCTCTGTCTTATCAACCATTCATCTATCAGTCTAGCTTCTGCATAATTATGACGACTCTGGACTTGAAGGTATCAGTTGTGCTGCTGTAGCTGATGTCGATGACATTCGGCATCCAGCTATCTCATAGCTAACATCACGTATCGGAAGCGCTAGCTATTCTAGAACACCACCAAATCTTTCGCGCCAAGAGCCAGCAACCACACAAGTCTACTCACAAATCTGCGTCAATTTTTTCTGCATATTCAGTCAAGAGATGACGATGTGGCTTAGGTCAGAGAGGAGCCCAATATGCTAGATAGTCATAGATTTAAGTAGCACAATAAACAATAAACCACACACTCAAGAAGCTACTGATTCTATTTTTTTGCTGTCATTTCATAGGTGAATGGCGTAGGAATAAAAGTCTTGTCTTAGATATATACTTCAATAAGCACTGGTCAACGTATCATGTGATTTAGCTCTTCTTTTTAAATCATTTAATGTGTATTCAGCTATCTAGCTGTGACACATGACTGATGCTATGTATATATGTAGGATGACTCTTTTGACGTTAGAGACACTCATCCTCTGCATTTCATTCGCGAATACCACTATGAGAAATGTTTGCTTACACAAACAGTCGACCCTTCGTGAGTACCCACCAAAGGGAATTTCAAAATCTTTGGTTATCCAAGCATGCCTTCGTCATCCATGTATACCAGCGCCGCGAGAAATGTGGTTGTGTTTCGCTGGATTTGAATCAGCAATCTCCTGCCACAAGTGGTATATTTTTCTAAGCTACTCAGAATCTACATGGGAGACCGGCTCAGATGATGTACCACCGCATTGTCCAACCATGAAGATGTTTACAGTGTCGCCTGTCCTCTCGCAATCGAAGTCGTATGGCGTACAAAGCTCAATTTGTAAAATCCTTGCTAAAATTTAACTTTCCTCGCCTGTCAAGATTGTATCTACCCTTAATAACATCTTATCCACCCGTCCACATCTCTCTCACGCCCATCCCATAAATCTGCCTCCCAGATTTTTGCACCACAATTTGTCACCTTCGACGGGGATTCATATTTTT